GCTGAGGCCGCCACACCAAGACGCACACGCCGAGAGAGAGAGTAATTCACGCCTAGCTCTCTGGGAGGCCGGGCGGGCCGGATTGCTCCGAGCGGTCAGGAGTTCAAAAGCTGGGAAAAGTAAACAGGTGTTACAGAAAACCCAGCAAGAGCGAGACGGCTCCGTCCTCCCTACTATTATAATAGGAGCAAGAAATTTATGGCCCAACTGATATGTATTATAAAAAAAATTAGCCGGGCATGGTGGCATGCCTGTAGTCCAGCCTACTCGGGAGCTGAGGCAGAAGATCGCTCAAGCCCAGGAGTTTGAGGTTGCTGTGAGCTAGCGCTGACGCCACGGCACTCCACTCTAGCCTGGACAACAAAAGCGAGAGACTCTGTCTCAAAAAAAAAAAAAAAAAAAAAAAAAAAAATATCAGCTGAGTGATTGTTACTGGCACTGACAAGCCAATTTAAAAACTTATATGAGGCCGGGCGCTGTGGCTCACGCCTGTAATCCTAGCTCTTGGGAGGCCGAGGCGGGCGGATTGCTCAAGGTCAGGAGTTCAAAACCAGCCTGAGCAAGAGCGAGACCCCGTCTCTACTATAGAATAGAAAGAAATTAATTGGCCAACTGATATATATTAGTAAAAAAATTACCCGGGCATGGTGGCCATGCCTGTAGTCCCAGCTACCCGGGAGCTGAGCAGGAAGATCACTCGGAGCCAGCGAGTTTGAGGTTGCTGTGAGCGAGGCTGACACCACGGCACTTCCCAGCTCTAGCCTGGGCCAACCAAAAGCCGAGACTTCTGTCTCAAAAAAAAATAAATAAATAAATAAAAAAAAATAAAAACTTATATGAGAGAAAAAAATTACACAGAAATACAAAGAGCCAGAATAGCTAGGACACTTTCAAAAAGAAAACCAAGATAAAAGGATCAGATGTCAATACTTAATTGATAATAATGAAGATAGCTTTGTATTGGCACAGGATAGACAGACCAATGGAAAAGAACAAGGAATCTAGCAACAATCCTACATATATGTGAATATATGACAAAGGTAACATTGCAGACAGGAAAAAGAGATTATAAACAAATGATGCTAAGATACATAGGCAACCCTACAGGGAGAAAAAAATGAAACTGAATCTTTATCTCATGCCAGATGCATAGAACAATTCCAGGTGAATTAAAGGCCTTTTCTAGGTGGGAGAACAAGACTCACAGGCAGAGACAGGCCAGGATATGTATGAGGGTTTGATGTGCTGTATCACAGCCAGAGAGAGAGGCTGTGGCCTTCCCCTCACTTCCCTCCTCTAGAGACACATGGCTTTGGTTCAAGTTCCAACTCCGCCCCATATTCCCTATGTGGCCATGGTGTCCTCTAGGTCTGCGGTCCCCAACCTCTGGGCCATGGACCGGTATCCATCCATGGCCTGTTATGAACCATGCCACACAGCAGGAGGTAAGCAAGGGAAGCTTCATCTGTATTTATAGCCTATTTACAGCCGCTCCCCATCACTGGCATCACCACATAAGCCCTGCCTCCTGTCAGATCAGCAGAGGAGCTGAACCCTACTGTAAACTGCGCATGCGAGGGATCTAGGTTGTCCGTTCCTTACAAGAATCTAATGCCTGATGACTAAGGTAGAGCTGAGGCAGTGATGCTGAGGCAGTGATGCTAGCGCTGGGGAGCAGCTGCAAATACAGATTACCATTAGCAAAGAGATTTGACTGCACAATAAATATATGCAATTGAATCATCCCCAAATAACTCCCACCCCACGCCCCACTCCCATGGAAAAATTATCTTCCATGAAACCAGTCCCTGGTGCCAAAAGGTTGGGGACTGCTGCTCTAATTTTTCCCTCTCTAGGGCCTGAGTCACTCCCAAAAGCCTCTTTCTGTCTATAAAATGGGGATGGCCAGAGGCCTGCCCCAGAGGGCACTGATGCTGAGCCCCAGCCTGGGAGGCAGGAAGCACCTCCTTGGAGTGCAGCCTGGCTCAGCCAGCAGGGGGCACGCTACACAATGGCACCCAGAGCCCAAGGTGGGAACTGGGAGCTGCTTGGACCTCTGAGAGGTTTATTTTAGTTCAGGGGTGGCGGAACAGGACCTCTTTTGCCAAGTATGATGGCTTATGCCTGTCATCCTAGCACTTTGGGGGCCAAGGGCGGGAGGATTACCTGAGCCCAGGAGTTTGAGGTTGCAGTGAACTACGATAACACCACTGCACTGCACTCTAGCCCGGGCAAGACTGTTTCAAAAAAAAAAAAAAGACATCTTTTCATGATAAAAATCTCTATTAACAGAAGGCATAGGGGCTCACCACATTCTTTCAGATTAACTGTAGTAAAGGGAACACCATGTTTCATCCTTGGCTTGGAGAAGCTTCCCAAAGTGTCTGGGGCCCTTTTCCCAAGCCCCAGAACCAAACCCACCTCTGGTGAGCGGGTCAGGGAACCTTCTCTGAGGCTCAGTTTCCCTACCTGTAAATGAGGAAGCTCTGTCCCCAGGGCAGGGACAGGCCTCCAGTCCACCTGCCCTCAACACAGTGAGGCAGGGCAATTCTGTTCCCCCAGAGCTGCAGCCTCCTGGCTGTGGGAGGACTTCCAAAATGCCTATCTGAGGCTGTGAGGGCTGAAGGGAAGAGAGGCAGGGGCCAGGGTCTGGGACTCAGAGCAGTGAAGGACATGCCAATGAGTGGTAGAACTGGAATTTGAACCCAGGCCTCTGAGCCTCAACTCTCTCACCTGTAAAATGGGACTAAGCAGCTATTTCTCCAACAAAATTATGTCAAGTACTCAGTTTAGCACCTCAAATGCAGGAAGTACGCAGTAATAATGGCAACCCCAAGCCCTCTATGTGGAATGGAACATTCACAGCAGGTCTCAGGAGGCAGCAGGAATCCCTTACAGCCCTTCTTTCATGCTGCAGGACCACAGCCTGGGACCCCACCCACCACCCCCAAAACACACGTCTGGCAACTGAGGCCTTGGCCCTAGGGTGGTTCACAAAGAGGTGGCAGCTGTGCCTGCAGGCCTAGGCTCTAGATGGGGGGAGGGGGGGCAGCCAGACCCTGGGCTGGACCTTTAGGCAGCCACAGACCTTGGCTGTCCAGTTGGCCAGAAGGACCTTACACCTGGCTCTGGGCCTCAGGACCCCCAAATCTTCACACTGAGGGGTCTTCAAAGATGCTTTAGCCACTGAGCTGGTTCCAGGTCACTGTGCAGGTTAGATAAAAGCAATAGTGTCTTGTATCACCAGTTTGGCAGACCCCCAGGTACTGGCTGGAAACCACTTCTCTGATCCACCCCTGCATTTTGAAATTTTACAGAAAAGGAAACCACAGCCACAGTGGGGAACAGTATGCGTCCACAAGAGTCCCCAAGCAACTTCAGACTGGCCAAAGAATTCCAGCCACAGGGAGGAGGAATGGTTGGATTTTCAGAAATAGTTCAGAACACCAGAAGCTCCAAACTCAACCATGGTGCACTGACCCCTCTCCCTGGGCAGGCTGAAGAGGAAACCCCTGCAGTGATGGTCTTGGACACCTGGTTCCTGGAAGCAGATGGCTGCTGTTGTCCACAGGATCTAGAGTCCTACCACACTCTACAGCCCCATGGGGCCGCGGCCACCCACATCCACTGACTCACCTTTTCACCCCCCTTCCTCCCGTAAACCACATGCCCCCAGAATACACCCTGGGGAAGAGGGTCCAAACAAAATGCCTTCTCTCAGGGGCAGCCAGTCGCTGGCTCATGAGCACAAGTGCTGTCCTAAGTTTGGGTTTCCCCAACAAAATGCGGTGAAAATCACAATAATCCTGGTGTTCCTGCCACCTGACCCCCAGTTGAGTCTGTTTTCATTAAAAATCCAGCCTGGATGGCTGTGCCAGGGAGAGTGACCAGCTGCAATTACATGCCAGAAAGTGAGGAGTCCAATCAAGGCTGGGCCTGAGCCAGGTATCACCCAGAGGACTTGGGCATCTGGGTACCACTGTCTCTACCCTGCCTTGGCCTGCTCAGGACACACTTTCTGCCCCTTCCATAGCTGTCACCTCCTCCAAGAAGTCTTCCTGGAACCCTCGACTAGGTCCAGCTCCTGGCCCCTGCACACTCAGCTGTTCCCACACTAGGCTGTGAGCTTGGCCAGGCCAGGGGCCTGCTCACAGCACACACGCAGCCCTGGCACCAGGCCAGGCCCACAGGAAGTGCTCAATAACCGTTTGTTAATGCTGTGAACAAACCAATTGTGGTCCCAGAGACTGCTGTTACTCAAGGCTTGTCAGAGGCAAGGACGATTATGGTCCCAGGGGCAGCTCTGCTGCCCCATTGCCTCAGCCTGACCTGTTGCAGTAGAACTAGAGCTTGGGAGCATGGGCTCTGAGCCCAGACTGCCCAAGTTTGGGTCCTAACCTGTGACTCGCTGTGCACCCTGGGCAAGTCTGTCAGCCACCTGTGCCCTGGAAGACAGGACAACCACCTCTTAGGGTTCCTGTGAGCTGCTGCAGTCACCATCTGAACGTCAATGTGAGCGCTCAATAGCCAGTTCCTCGCTCCTTCCCAGTCAAGCCCTGGACACCAAGGCAGAGATCATCTCTGTTTTATTGGGAAGCAACAGCCCCTACTGGAGCCTGCATCTTAGCTTTCCTGTGGGGTATTAGGGCCAGCCCCGGCACCCACCCAACAGCCATGTCAGGCCATGTCAGGGTAAGTGTGCCAGGGGGACCAGACTCCTGTCCTCAAAGCCCGGGCTGGGTTCTGGGTTCCTGGGACCAAGGCCTGGTGAGGCCAGAGAGCCCACCAGTCCCCCGGAATGTGGGTCCTGGTCCAGCTGTGGGGACCCAGCCTGCTACGTGAGGCCCGGCAGATTCCATAAGGCGTCTGTTGGAGATTGCCTTGGGGCAAGCCTGGTCCTTGCTCCAGCTCGTCCTCCCATGCAGGCCAGTCTCCATTGGTGTGGCCTGGGGTCATGGCCCCCGTGACTGCCTCTGCCTCACAGCCATATGGGGCAGGTGTCACCTGGGCCCAGCGTAGCCATAGGGGTGCCGCAGCAGCAGACTCTGGTGGCTGGGCAGCACATGGGTGTGGTAGTGTTCCACCATGCTGCCCACGCTCACAAACAGGACCTCGCCCTCCAGGTAGAACTTGGAGTCCTGCGGGAGCAGGAGGGCGTGAATCAGTGGGGCCAGGCCAGTCCTCTGTGCCAAGCCTCTGTCTCCCTGCCCTGTGCCCTGTCTGTAAAATGGGCAGTAGGCAGTAACGATGACATAGTCAGGCCTGCTCCTGGCTGCCCAGTTTCGCCCCGCATCTGCCTCCACATCGTGCCTGTTCTCTCCACGTCTCCCGCAACATCCCCTCCATCTCCAAGTGCCCGGAACATGGCCTACACCCAGGGTACTGCAAGCAAGGTCTGTGAATAAACCCAGAGTCTAAGGCTGACCCTCATCCCCTCTAGGGACAGCTGAGGACGAGGCTAGGCAAGGAGAGGAGGAGAAGAGGGAGGTTGAAGCAGGAGGGGGTGGGCGGCAAGCCAGGGTGAGGGAGAGGTAGGGGAGGGTGGGACTTTAGCCTACTTGCTACCTACACCTTATCAAGGCAATTCTGCCCTGTCCTTTGTCAAGCCCCAGGGCCAGGGTCCCTGTCCCACCCTGAGTCCCCAGACCGGGCCCAGACCTCTCACCTTCTCGAAGATACGATAGTTCCTAACTTTATTGGAGGTTTCATCCCACACGACCAGAACCTACAGGGAGGGAAGCGGGAAGCTGATGGCTCAGAGGACAGGCCACGGGGGGTGACCAACCTTAGGAGAGACCAAGGGAGGTGGGCAGCAGCATCAACGCTGTGTCCTGTGGCCCCCAAGGGTAAGGGGGGAGTGTCTCCAGGCCACCTGCACAGGAACAGCAGGGACCAGATAGGCAGCCCCTCACTCCTAGGGCTCCTTCTGCCCCCAGAGAGCCTCTGACAAGCCTTGAGTAACAGCAGCATGTGCCTGGTCCACCTGTAACCACCTCTGCTCCACATGGGGAAAGTGCCGCTCAGTGAGGTCACACATTTCAATGCTTACAGGGACCCAGGCAGACCTCCTGCCATTGCTAATACCCATGTGCCCCCCCACTGCATGAAGCACACCCCCACCCCAGAGTCTGGGGCCCCAGCCCTTCCCTCCCCCACGCTCACGCCCCTGCTGGGAGGTGGCCATCATTGTCCTCAGCTTGCAGTTGGTATTCAGAGAACAGATTGGGGTGCTAGCAGGCAGGACAGAACTCAGCTGAGATGCCAAGCAAGAAGCTGCATGTGGAAGTGATCTATGAACTAAAGCCCTGGGCCCACTGTCACTTATGTGTGGGGACAGCCCGAGGGCCCGCCGCGACAGAGCAGTCACCCGCACATCTTCTCGGTGCCTACCTTCCCAGACTTGGTGGAGGAGTTCCGGATGCAGTAGAGTCCGTCCTGGGGCTCTCCCTGAGGGCTCGTGGCTTTGAATAGCCTAAAATGAGACAGTTGACAGTAAGTCCTCCTCAGGCAGCTCTCACAGGGACCCTCCAGCCCCACTCCCAGAGCTCTGGCCACACCAGGGTGACGTGGGAGGACAGAGCTGACGGTTTCCCCTGCACTCAGGGCCATGTACTTATGCCAGCAACTACCCAACACTGCAGCGAGTAAGGAGACAGAGAAGCAAGAAGACAGGGTACAGCAGGGGGCCCAGCAACTCAAGGGCTCTGTGCTGACCTTTCCACTTCGCAGGATTCTGTGGTGTTGACGAATACTGAGCTGGGCAGCGGCACCTGTAAGAGGCTGACAGTGGTCAGTGTCAAAGTCTGAGTGACCCACCCACACCGCCACTCTCTGACAGCTGCCCCCTGCACCAGGATCCAGGGCTGCGCACGGTGTTCCATGTCCCTTGGTTCCAGGGTTCTGGGCTCTTTGCTCAGGATAGGCCCCCCTGGCCTACAGCCCCCCTACCACTGCCCACCCGCTGGCTGGGTGCGATCTGGGCTTGCCTTCTCATAGTCCTCATCTGAGTCCTCCTGGCCCACATCACCCTGCGAGGGTTGCCGGGGTTTTTCGAAGGAAAAGCTCCTGAAACTCTGCCCATCCGGGGGTGATCGCCTGGGTGGGAGGAGAAGAAGGTGAGACCACACCACATCAGACACAGGACAGGCCACCCTGTGCTGCCATGCACGTGACCACACCAAGCTCAGTATCATAATCCAAGGGGTCTGCCTGCTGCAGCCCCAGTAACTATAAAGGCCAACAGGGGACAGCAGGCCCCAAGAGGCCTGTGCTGACTGCCCTGGGTTAGCCGGACTGGCCCAAGGCCTGAAGTCCAAGTCAGGGATCAGGGCTGCCACAGATGCTGGTGAGGAGGTTCCATACTCAGGGGCCATCACATGCCGGACAAGTGTTTTGCGTGCTCTTGGGAAAGGGGGTCTCAGCCCAGGCTCTGCTGCTGACTGGCCTTGTGTCCCTGGCCAAATCACGCCCCTCTCAGAGCCATAGGCGAGTGGATGAATGTGATGGGATGGACAACGAGATCTGACCCAAGGGACACCTGCAAGGAGAGCCCTGCACACCTCACACATGTGGCCAGGAGATCCTGCCCAGCCAAACCTCCCGGGCTTCAGGAAGGACTAAAAGAGACCACATGTGGCACAAGCCCACGCTGGGACAGCCGGCTGGCCTGGGCGTAAGGCTGAGCCCTGGACCACAGCCCTTGCACATGCGGCTCTGCAGCTCGCAGATCCAGGTCACGGGAAAACAACCAACTAGAACTACGAGTATAGCAAGGGTTTCTCCCAGGCACTTTCCCATAGGCAGCAGGGGGCTCAAAGATATTAGCAGAGCCCTGGGGAGAAGGGTACCACAGTCAAGGGCATTTGGGGAGTGCCAGGTCAGCACAGCATGAGAAACCTGCCCCTGGTGTGGGCAACTGTGGAGTAGAGGACACACTGCTTTCCTGGCACTTCCCAGCAATAAAGCAGAAAGCATCTCACACAACCTCAGGGCCTAGTCCTGGACATGCTCTGCGCCCCCAGTTAGGAAGGGCACAAAAGCAGCTTGGGTGGCTCCAGAGCCAGGAGTTACCCCCAAGCCGCAGGCAGCACTGGGAAGAACCTGCACTGGGTCCTTGGTTGGGAGGGCTTGCAGAGGCAGACTGGCTCAGGGCAGCTCACAGCCTGAGCTCCCAGGGCAGGCAGTCAGTCCTGCAGGCCCCTCACCTGACCCCAGAGCACCCTCACACCATACAGCAATGGCTCTGGAAGGCCTGCATCCCCAAGGCCACACTGGTCACTGCCCATGAGGTGGCCTCTGGCTCCAGGCCCACTGCCCACAGGCTGGACGTTTCTCAAGGACAGGGTTGGATGCTACCTGCACAGGGGCCTGCTGACTGGCTCCCTTGACCAGGTATGGGGTGGCCATTCCACCTAGGCAGGCTGGGCCATTCCACCTAGGCAGGCCATTCCACCTAGGCAGGAAACCTTTCTACCCCTGTACCAGCCACCCCATTATGGCGCAGAGTGCCAGAGGCAAAGGGGGACAGGGTGCCAGCTGGAAGCCAGGCCAAGTCAGCGAGGGCTCCCGGTGGCTGGGAGGCAGGGGTGCTGGCTGCAGCACAGACTCACTGGAGGTGGGGGAGCGGCGGCTTCTCTGGCCTGGGTAGCACTAAGGGCCGAGCTGTGGCCTCAGGCGTGGGCAGCTTCAGTGCAGGAAGCCTGGGGGCCACAGGGGGCACAAAGAGTCCAGGCCTTGCTGCCTCCCTTGGGGTGTCCTCTTCAGCTGGCTTCAGGAACTTGGGCTTGTTGGCTGGCACAGGTGGGGGCTCAGATGTGGGCAGCCCCCGGGGAGACAGGTGAAAGGACTTGAGTTTGTCACAGTTCCTGGAGGTGGCAGCAGCCATGATGGCAGAACTGGAGGCAGAGCTAGCCCCATGGCCAGGGGTCCAGGGCTCCAGGCTGGGGCTAGCACACTCTCGGAAGCAAGGGGGCTTCCGAAGGCCGGGAGCAACAGGCACACTGCCCAGTGGGGGGTCGCTCATCCTTCGGGAGGTAGCGGGCACCCTGAGGGCAGATTCTACCCTCCTCAGGCCCAGCGGGTCCCTCTTGGAGTCCTCAGGGACCAGGCCGGCATCTGGGAGGCCATGCTTAGGGGGCACTGGCGGCAGCAGGGGGCTGGGGCCCTTGGAGGTGAAGGAGTGGGCTCGGGGCATGTCAGAGAAGGCTGGCTTCCTCGGCACAGGCACTGGGGGTGGTGGGTAGGCCGGCGGATGGGTGAGGGCATCTGCAGAGCAAAGAGACCGTGTTGGAATCACTAGATGGAAGCTGGACCAACTCTGCCCCCCGTCAGCAGCCAGCCAACCAGGTGTGCAACCCGACGCAGCCCCCTGGGTCCCAGACTGCCTACCACCACCTGATCCTCCCCTCCATCCTCCACACGGCAGTCCACAGAAGCTTCCAGAAGCCTAGACATCACACGAGGAGCCACAGGGTTACCAGAGGTGGAAGTGGAAGAGACAGCAAAGTCAAGGACGCCCAGGCTCGGCTGCACAAGGGGAAGGGAGGAACTCCCAGTAACAGAGAGGAGGAGTGGGGATGGGGCAGTCGGGAGGAAGATGAACATCTGTGTTTGTTCATAACAAGTTTAAAATGCTGTGAGACGCCCAGGGGACGCCACGTGGACTGTCAGGGGTGTGAGTCCAGGGTTTAGAGGTCCCAGCTGGACATGTGAGTCAGTTGGCAGCCAGTAGATGACCCCAGCTGTTAGCCAGGGAGTGCAGGAGAGGAGGTCTGAGCTTCGAGACGGCCCGGGTCGTGGGGTGGGCGTCCCTCAAGGGGCCAGCACAGGGGTGGAGGAGGCAGGGGCACACGGTGCCTGAAACGGGGAGGGTGAGGAACAGATGGGCACCCGGCCAGGGGCAGCTCGGGTGCTGTGCTCAGGATTTGGGAATGGGGAAGCCACTGGGGCCCTGGATGAGAGACATTTAGGGTAGGGGATGGGAAGGCCAGACTGCAGGGGTCCAGAGGGAGGGTGGAGCTCACCAGGGCCGGGTGGGCCAACCTCAGGTGTGAGGTGGAAACCTGTGCAGGCCACGGGCGGGGCAGATGTGGCAGTCACTGGCAAGACAGGGTTCTGCATGAGAGGGAAACTGAGGCAAATGCCCCACATGTCCTGATGGGCTGAAGGCCTATTGGTGCTGGGGCCCCAAATGGAGGGATCAGCAACAGAGGATAGGCTGGACACAGGGCCTGCAACTAGGAGGGGACAGGTAGTGGAGAGCAAGACATGAGCTGGGGGCTAAGGTGAGCAGTGGCCAGGTCAGTGGGGACAGGAGGCTGAGGACCGGGAGGCCGAGCAGAGGATGAAGGGAAGCCTGACTGCAGACTATCCAAGACACAGTGAAACGGACAACATGGGAAGACTGGAGAGAGGGGGGCAGGGAGGAGACAGGGGAGGGGAGGAGACAGCTACATACCCTCCTCACCTAGCCCTGCACTATCCTGTGACCCTGTGTGACTGCCATGTTGCAGGAAGTGGGGAAGACACTAGGTCCTTGATGGCAGCTTGGGCTGTGGCTGTCTCCATGGAGAGGTGGTGGCCAAGAGACACGGACTGGCCCCGGACCCACCCATTCCTCGATACCACTCCTTACCCACTCTCAGCTCCAGGGCCACCCTGGCTCCACCTGCCACTATCTCCATGCCCCTCCCCCTCCATCCTGGGGGTGGGGGAGCAGATGAGCAGAGCTGGCCAGCATCTGCCTCTTCTGCTCAGATCTGCCTAATGCCCTGGCCACAGCAGGGAAACTGAGGCCACCCAGACAGTGATTGGGTGGGCACCCCCAACCTGGGAGGGGCTCTCCACCTACCAAAAGCTCCCAGGTCCCTGCCCACCTACCCTCGGGCTTCATGGCCTCAGGGGAGTCGGGCTCCATGTATGAGTCATCCTCATCATCGTGCTCATAGTCTGCATGGGAGGGACAAAGGGTGAGACTCAAGGTAGCCCAGGCCTAGCTGCACGAAGAGTGGGACAGCGGGGCTGGGCCACGGGACAATGCTCCAATCACAGGGCTGAGCATCCGGAAGGGCCAAGATGAGGTGGGCAGGATGTGAACTCAAAACCAAACTGCCAAAGGCCACCATCACTCTACCAAAGGGACAGAGCAAGGGCACAGGTAAACATGCCCCCCTCTCCTCTGCAGCAGCCCACAAGGAGAACCGTCACTGTCGGCAGGCTGGTGTGGAGAGGCGGAGGAGCAGTGGACGTGGAGAAAAGCCTCACCTTCATTGTCCGTGGGGTATGGAGAGAGGCTGATGTCCACAGGCCGCTCGACTGACCCATAGAAGCTGTCTGTATCGGAGCTGGAGTCGCTGCAACACAGGGAGCAGCAGGCAAGGGACAGGCGGTGAGCACCAAGCCTGGGAGGTCCCTTGGCACTGACACACTGATGCACGTGCACACACATCTGCTCTGACACACAGGCACATAGAGTGACACACATAGACGTGGACACACACACATAAACATAGAAACACAAGGACACATGCAGTCATACAGACACACATAGACATACAGATACACAGATAAAACACAGAGACAAGGACAAGCACACACATGAACACAGACATAGATAGAACAGCACACAGACACACACTCACACACTGTTACAAGGACAGACGCAGGGAATGAAGGCTGTGGTGCCTCCACCGGGTGCCTCCTTCCCTTCTGGCTGTGGTTCTGGCCACAAGTGTGGCCCCAGACCGGCCAGAGGCCTCAGGGCTGGGCCCATGTCTCCACCTGCTCCTGCCTAAAGGGGCTTAGTCAACTCCAGGCTGGCCTGTGGGACCCTGGCTGGAACCAAGGGTCAGGAGCTCCAGGGCTCAGGAAGGGCCCTGCAGGGCAGCCTTGGGTGCGCCCAGCCCTCTCTGGGCCTCAGGCTCCTCGTCTACGAAAGAACAGGATAGTTTGTTCCTGTCCAAATGGTCTCTGGGACAGACAGTTCCAGCCCAGAGAGCCCTGCTGCTTGCTGGGCTACCTCACGGATGAGGCTGCCGAGACTGGATCGACTGAGCCAGCTTCCTGGGAGATTCCAGCTTCACCCTGGAGCAAGCCCAGTGGACATCAGGGGAAGGGGAAGCCAAAACTCTCAGTGCTGCAAATGCTGCGCTTCCTGGGTGGGGGAGGTAAAGACACGTGACCCCCAAACAGGAACTACCAATCCCTGTGACAGAAACAGACGGCGAGGCGAAGCTGGAGAGGACAGACAGGAACAGAGGATGGCGCACATGCAAACTTTACACACGTCTCACACGCAGCATGCCTGGCACCTCCAGAAAACTCTAAGGAGGGGGACCTGGGCCAAGCCCCAGGGGCCGGCAGGAGGATACCTGTGTCAAGCGCAGGAGCTCTAGGGACCCCCCACCCCATCCGCCACACTCCTTGGCCCACCTGGTGTCCAGGGACAGCTCCTTCTTCTCATGGAAGTGGCCAATCTCCCTGCGCAGCAAGGCCATCCAGCTCTGTGGGACAGCCGGGTCAGCAGTGGACATGGTGCTGCCAAGGTGGCCCCCCCTCATGCCTCCCGCCTGGCTGCCCCAGCTACTCCGCAGCGACTGCAAAGGCTGGGGACGCTGACTGGGTCAGCTCAAGCGGTATGACTCAGCACAGCCTGGCCCTCCTGGGGCTGCGGCTCCACCTGAACCACTTGGGGCCCCCCAGAACAGCACATTCTGTGTGGCCCTGGTCCTAGGACCTGGGCATGGGGCTACGGGCTGTGGGCCAGCACCCGCCCAGCTGCCCACGCCCAGCCATGTCTCCCCACCCTAGCTCACCTTGCGCTCATCCTCAGAGGAGGCTGAGAAGAACCATGTGCGGTGCTTCTTGCTGATGTGCACGATCTTGAAGGGAAAAACATTGTTGGATGTCGTCTCCTCAGCTGCCCGCATCACCCTGAAGGCACAGCACCAGCAGTCAGCACCTGGTCTACAGCCGCAGGGATAGCCTCACCTAGTCCCCTGCCTGGACTAGTCTGGGTATACAGCACCACACCCCAAGGAACATGGCACATCTAGATGGGCCCTGCTTACATGTCCCAGGTGGAGGGCCTCATGCCCAGACAGATGGGAGAGTGTGGGTGCAGGCAGGGAGCTGACAGAGGGCTGCTGGGCTCTGGGAGGGCCTCTTAGGAGCAGCAAGGCATGGAAGATGAGGACACATCACCCTCAATGCCCACCAGTGCCACTTTATATGGACACCACCCTCCTACCTACAGCCTCACCTGGCCCCTGGCCTGCCTGTGGGCCCCCTCTCTCCCCAGGGGTCTGGGCCCTCACTATGCAGCAGCAGCACTGCGTGCATTTCAGGGAATGACTTGTGACTGCTCTGTGGCCTGCTCATCTGGCCAGGATGTGAGATTTGCACAGAGACCACAAAGTTTACCATGGAGGGATCACTGCCTGCCCAGCACCTAGGCAGGTGTGCCCATCCCAGGCCCAGCCGGCCCTGATGGGCTGGACAGCTACCCAGGGCACAGCTTCTTCTGCCACTGGGCCCAATGCTCACACCATGGCTGGCACACGCTGGAGGCTGGAGGGCAGTGTCTGGGGAAATGGAATAACCCTTCCCAAGGGAACCCAGGGCTTTGATCGACCAGTGCCTGCCTGCCACCCACAGGGCCCTCAGGCCTCCTTCTCTCCCTTGGCCAGTGCTCTGGGCTGGTTAGGAGTTTTGGCAAGGCTGCCCTACTAAGGCTATGGCCAGAGTGCAAGCCAGGTCCCAAAGTACATGTGAGGGTCCCGGTCCTACTGCCAATACCATGTGACCCTTGGTTCCTCACAGGCAAGAGGGACTGGGCCCTTAAGGGGTGTAAGAGACACAGACTAATGCTGCAGGGTGGAGGGCCCAGGTGGTACACCCCCTAGAACCATAGCCAGGAGCCAGCACTTAAACCCTGTTCCATGGGCAGACGCCAGTGGGGCTCACAGGCCCACCTGCACCAGCATGTCCCATCCCATCCAGAGGGCTCGGGCCACTGCCCACCTGCCATTAGTCCAGAAGGCCTCAAGGGCAGACTCGTGGCCTCTCACTGGATGGAGGGCAGCCCAAAACATGTGTGAAGCAGGAAACTGCCCCCAGCCCAGGAGGTCTTTGGAGCCAGGGGAAGGGCTAAATTTAGGACAGGGCCTAGGTTGGCTGGGCTCTTGGTTCCCCGGAGAGAGGCCATGGTAGGTGAAGGTGCAGGGCAGGGAGAGAAGAGGGACACAGAAGTCACTGGGCCATAACTGAGCGGAGACTCTGGAGAGCAGGCCCTCAGGACTTGTCCATGAAGCCACTGGAAGCCCCCAGCCTCACCCCCAGGTCCTCAGCAAAAGCCTGAGGGCAGAATGTGAGGAGAGGGAGAGGCATCACGGAGGTTGGGCCAGCGCCGTGGCACCGGCACACACAGCTGGGGGTAGGGGACAAAGGCCATCTTGAAAAGGCTGGACTGTCCTTGGGTGAGACTGAGGGGTAGGCCCAGCCAGAGCTGTCAGAGCGGGCTGACAGGACAGCCGGCTGGCCGTGGGGCCAGGTCAGTAGGCAGGACGGGCACTCACCGGTTATAGCCACTCAGTGAGAAGGCGCCCTGTGGGGAGGCCGACGTGCTGCTCTTGAAGTAGTAGATGCATCGCTTGTGGATGATGACAAAGCGCAGGGGCCCTGTGGGAGCGTGGGTGGCAAGGCAGGGATAAGTTGCCAGGGGCCAGCAGGCAGATCCCATTCTAAGACCCCTCCCCAAGGCCCTGGGCAACTTGGGGCCAGGCCTCTTGCCTCCGAGCCCTGCTGAACAGAGAAACAGGGGCTGGGTTGGCTGCCCCTCCCCAGGAATCCACTCTGGGGCCAAATACAGACAAGTTCACAGCCATGCTGGCCAACCCCAGAGCACCACTTCAGGGCAGGCCTGGCCACCCACAAGTTTGGGGGGCTGTGAGGAGGAAGGACAGAGCCAGAGCCAGGGCCAAAGCCCAGGGAGGCCACAGCTGCCCTGCTGGGTACCATGGGAAGCTGGGGACTCCCTGTACCCCAGAGCTACTAAGAGGGGCTAAGGAGCCCAAAGAGCTTGCCAATGAGAGCCACTGACATAGACTGCTAGGTGGGGAGTTACACTGAGAGCCCCACACTCTACTGCCCAGCCCCAAGCAGCCCCTCCAGGTCCTGTGTGCAGGTCAGTTACAGCCTTCCATGGAGGCTCCCAATACAAAGAGACCAGCCCACCCAGTGCCCACACAGAAACTGAACACCTCAACCAGGAGGCCCAGGGAGTCCCTGGCAGAGGGCACTGCCAGGGCAAAAGCATGGAACACCGCTGTCAGGGCCTTCTGCTCTTTGACCATCAGTGTCTCCACATTTGGGCATCTCCCAAGCCCGGGACCTACTCTCTCCCAGACTGCTGTCCTGGGGGCCAGAGTCCAGGTCTCGCACTGCCCCAAAGGACCCGCACTCAGCCATGTCTCAACTTGGCATATGGGTTCAGTGTGGGCGGAGTGACCAAGCAACTCTCTGAACACCCATAAATGAGGTGACTGTGGCACCAAGGGCTAGACCTAGCAGGCCACCCAAGGTACCCTGGTCCTGGCTGCAGGCTGAAGATCCTGTGGCCAGCTGGCCAGCACCTTGCACTACACGCCTTTCCTGTCTCTTTGCCAGCTGCACCACCCAGACTCTGCCAGTCCTGGGGGCTGGGGAAGCCGATCTCAAGTCCCCCTGGGGGGTCAGGTACCAGAGAGGGAAAGGAAAGCCCAGAGGCCCACCATGTGAAGAAGGAGAGGCTCAGATAGGATGCTCATTTGCCCAAGGAGCGATCAGGGCTCAGCTCTGTCCCATGTCCTTCCACTGTGCCCCCCCACCACCACCCAGGGGACTCACATTTGAGCAGTTGCAGCTGGGTACCACCCTTCTTGTGCAGGTATCCAGCCTTGGCCACACCCCCAGGCATGGTTAGCAGGTTCTGGGCACCGATGGCCTTCATGGGGACAGGCCAGTGCATCTCCTCAGCCGCCATGAAGCTGTGATAAAAGAGGAAGGGACATGGCTCAGCCAGGGCTATGGGACAGGAGATGGCTTAGCTGGGGCACTTGGGGAACACTGCCAAGATCCAGGAGACAGCATGGAGGTTAAGGCAATGAAGGATGAGGAAACCCCCTTTCTGAAGGTCTCAGGCTTCCAAGTGGGCCCCTGGGAAGACAGGGCCACCTGGTCCACCAGGTCAGCCCCTGGTCCACGAAGCCACACACCTGGCCTTCATGGAGCCTGAAGGCTAAGCATGTCCTTTATCTTCCCTGGTTCATTCAGTGCACACCTAGTGAGCACAAGGCCCCATTGGGACTGAGGTGCAGGGATGAATGAACCCAGGAACCCAGCCCAGTAAGGCAGGCCTTAGGCCATAGCCACCCCAAGCCCCAGTGTCAGGTGAGGCCATAATGGAGCCTGCCCTAGACAGGAAGCAGGAAAGTAGGTAGCCAAGAGCCTCCAGTTTCCTGGTCAAACAACCTGGGCTCACCAGGTTTGGCTTTCTGGACGATCCCTAGGCTTTAGTTGCTGGAGAACAGAGTGGACCCAGCCGGACACAAAGGACACCCTCCTCAGCAGAGGCTGTGACCATCATTTGGTGGATAGACTGGTGTCCACCCCATCTGCCTGGGGCATCACTCACCTATCCTGCCTGAGCCCCAGCGGGGACCACACAGCCCATGGTCAGTGGTGACTGCCTTAGGGTTGACCCACGCCCACAGGATGCAACATCCCAGGCCCTGGCATCAGGCCCTGCCCCTTACTCATGCTCCAGAGCTGTCCATTTTGAAATCCGCCAGGCTGTTTCACATTTCCACCAATGCCTGGAATGACCTCCACCTCTCCCCAGGCAGAGAACCTCTACTCATCCTTCAAGACCCACATTAAGAATTCCCACTTCTATGAGGCACAGTGCTCAGTTACACTGTCTGCCACCTGTGGTCCCTCTAAACAGTACACACACACACACACACACACACACACACACACACCTGGCACTGTTTTGTCTGTACCTGCCCCGCCCTGGGCAGGTCCTGCCTGGAGCCCTAGGGGAGTTGGCTGGCAGCAGGCATGGAGCAGCTAGGATCAGACTCAGAGGACCAGTATGGCTGGGATTTGTCCCGCTACAGCTCCAACCCCAAAACACATGTAAGGAAAACCACTCCCTGCTCTTAGCAAACCAGCAGCTTCCTTGAAATGTCCGAGAGAGGTCACTACCTCAGAAGACCCAAGCTGCCTTCTGCCTACTCTACCTGGGTCACTCCCCAGCGACCCATCTGCACATAAATCGAACCCTCCTGGGAGCGCCTCCCAGTATAGGGTGCCCAACAATAGGGCTTGGAACAAAGGCAGGGACACACCCCTGCCTGTGCCAGCCACCCCCCCAGCCCCTGGCAGAGCCCAGCAGTGGGGAGAAGAGGGTGCCGGGTGCCCACGCCCAGACACGGAGAGATACTGGTAGAGGGACGAGCCCCGCTCCCGGCCAGGAGCCCCAAGACCCGCCCGCCTTTGTTCCCGTAGGAAGCGCGCAGGCATCGGCCGGGGTTCCCGGTCCGGGTCCGGCGTCGCAGTCCAGTGGTTTACAGCTCGGGTCTGAGCCCGGGACCGGGACCAGGGGTCCGGGCGGTACTCACGGCGTCCACGCCGGCTTCCCGGGGGCGGCCCGCGCCCGCCTTCCCTGAGCGCACCGACACAGCCCGGGGCCCGCTCCTCTGGCCGCCGCCTCGTCCCCCGCGCCCACCCCCACCCCCCGCCGGCCCCAGCAGCGCGGTTGGGGCCCGGAGCCCGCCATGTCCACCGCGCCCCGCGCCCCAGCCCCTGCGGCCGCCGGCTCCGCCCTCGCAGGCGGGGGCGGGCAGGTGAGGACTCCCGGGCCCGCCTCCCGCCACGCGTCAGCCTGCGCCAGGCGCCCCCTCCGCGCCTCAGTGTCCCCACCTGCTACACCGAGGGCGGTGGTGGGGGGCGCTGGGAACAGGAAGCTGCCGAATATCAGTGCAGCCCGAAATCAAGAAGCCTTTGATGCAGAGGAGGGTCCAGGCGTCACCCCCCAACACCTGCGAGTCCAGGTCCCAATCCCACCAGCCACCCTGCAGGAAGCTCCCGCAGAAAAGTTGTTTTTCCACCCTGAGTCTCAGTATGTACCTCTATAAAGTGGCACCCTGCCTCTGAGGGCTCTGGCTGGCTGGCCCAGTGCCCCCACCTCTTCTTACCCACCCACCCCCACTCCTCTTTGCCTGTGTGCCTCAGTGCACTTCCAACCTGGGATTCTCCAAGGAGCAGGGGGTCTGGTCCTGGCAGCTCCCACCTGCTTGCCCATGTGCAGGCACCTCTCCCAGAAGAGTCCCCCAGGCTGGCCAAAGGCTGGTGAAGGCCCTTGCTGGCCTCCCAGGCACCTGCCTCCTCCATCTCCCATCTGCATACCAGCTACTACTGAGATGATCCACCTGCAGCAGAAGGCAGCAGGAGCCCCCATGGGCCCTGAGGGGGCAGCGCTAACGGTGCACACCTAGCTGTACATACTGGGTACCCAGCCCTGTGCTTCAAGTACTCCTCCACCTCAGGCCAGCTCTCTGAGACTCTTCTGGAGTCCAGCCTTCAAACCTCACTTCGGCCTCGCCTCCATCCCACCTTTGTGTCTTTGTCCCCAGTGCACTTACCCCTCCCTTCACTGCACTGCACCCAGCCCTCCTCCTTCCAGCCAACCTGCCTGTCCTCCTCCTCACTGCTTCTTGGCAACCCCACCATCTCTCCTCCTCAGGTCTCCCCTGCCTCCAGGGTGTTTCTTACAGGACACCCCCAACATGCACACCATTCCCATCACTGCTCTGTGCTGAGCCTCTGGGGCCAACTCATGCCCACCTGGCCCTTCCTGATGCAGCCCCTGTGGACCCTTCTCACACCCTCTCCTCCTGCCTTCCATCTTCTGTGCACCTATGCCAGCCAGGCCTCATGACTCCATTACTCAAATTCTTGACACACCCACCTCCAGGCCGAAGTCCATGCTGTGTCCACTGCCTACAGCTGTGACTGAACTAACTCAGCCTTCAAGAGTTGGTTTGAAAGAACCCAATCCTTCACAGACTCTTCCAGAAAATAAAAGAGGAGGGAACTCATTCTGTGAGGCCAGCATTATCCCAATACCCAAACCAGACAAAGACATCACAAGAAAAGAAAAACACCAATATCCATTATGGATATAGATATAAACATCCCCAACAAAATACTAACAAACTGAATCTGAATCCAGCAACATATGAAAAGGATTCTACACCAGGACCAAGTGGGATTTTTTTTCTCTTTTTGAGACAGAGTCTCACTTTGTTGCCCAGGCTAGAGTGAGTGCCGTGGTGTCAGCCTAGCTCACAGCAACCTCAAACTCCTGGGCTCAAGCAATCCTTCTGCCTCAGCCTCCCGAGTAGCTGGGACTACAGGCATGCACCACCATGCCTGGCTAATTTTTTCTATATATATATATTAGTTGGCCAATTAATTTATTTCTATTTATAGTAGAGACGGGGTCTCGCTCTTGCTCAGGCTGGTTTTGAACTCCTGACCTCGAGCAATCCACCCGCCTCGGACTCCCAGAGTGCTAGGATTACAGCATGAGCCACCGCGCCTGGCTGACCAAGTGGGATTTATCCAAGAATGCAAGGTTGGTTTAATATTCAAAACTCAATTAATGTAAAACACCATATTGTGAGCCATCACACCTGTAATCCCAGAGACCTGAGGAAGAACAAGACCCCATCTCTATAAAAAATAGAAAAATTAGCCAGGCGTGGTGGTACATGCCTATAGTCCCGGGTACTCAGGAGACTAAGGCAGGAGGATGGCTTGAGCCCAGTAATTTGAGGTTGCAGTGAACTATTAATCACTGCACTTTAGCCCAGGTAACAGAGTGACACCCTGCCCCCCCCCAAAAAAAAACCCCACTATATCAAAAGAATAAAGGACAAAACTACAAGATCATCTCAATAGATTAAGAAAAATCACTTGACAAAATTCAACAATCCTTCATGATAAAAACAACACTCAACAAACCAGGAATAAAAGGAAACTTCCTCAACCTTATAAAGGGCATCTATGAAAAGCTCACAGTTCACAGTTAACATCATACCTACTGGTAAAAGACTGAAAGCCTTTTCCTCAAGAACAGAAATAAGGTAAGGATGTTTGCTTTCCCCACTTCTATTGAACATTGTACTGAAGATTCTGGCTGGAGTAATTAGGCAATAAAAAGAAATAAAAGGTATCCAGATTGGAAAGAAAGAAGTAAAACTATGCATTGATTAGATGATTTTATATATAGAAAATTCCAAGGAATCCACTAAAAAGGTATTAGAATAAACAAGTTCAGCAAGGTGGCAGGATACAAGATCAACACACAAAAATCAATTGTATTTCTATATGCCAGCAACAATTCAAAGATGAAGGTAAGAGTTGCTTCAAGTGTTCCTTCTTCCAGGCAGTCTCCCATAACCTCTAGGGTAGGGGTCCTCAAACTTTTTAAACAGGGGGCCAGTTCACTGTCCGTCAGACCGTTGGAAGGCTGGACTATAGTTTAAAAAAAAACTATGAACAAATTTCTATGGACACTGCACATATCTTATTTTGAAGTAAAAAAACAAACAGGCAAAAATACCCACATGTGGCCTGTGGGCCGTAATTTGAGGACACCTGCTCTAGGGGGTCCTATGGTGAGGACAGATGGAGCCACCACCTCCTCCTGGCTCCATACCTGGACAAGGTTCAGCAGGAGGAGTTGGGGCAGGTTACAGTCCTACCTATTTCAGCTCAGTGGCCAGGCAGGGGGAGGCCTATGAGAGGGGCTCATTCCCACCTGGCTGCCATCCCACTGTGGGTAGGATGAAGGCTCTTAGGAGGCCACTGACCGACCTTGGGTAGGGAGGGAAGATGGTGACAAGGCCAGGTTGTGCTCCACCTTCACTTCCCCTGGGAATGTCCTCACTTCAGGTGCATGCGCTGACACTCCCAG